CACACATCAGCAATAATTACAGTACCCTCAAACACTAACTATTTATCAACTCTCACAATCCATAATATCATCAAACCCATCAACTACCACCCTCTCTTAAGATTACACCACTTCGCTACACCCATCTTCCTCGTCATACCCATCCTCATCTAGTACCAACCGAGCTTATCGAACATTCAAATTAAAATTCTCCAATCATCCATTTCCCTCCTACCCAGGCACAGCCCGAACATATATTAATCACCCAAATAACACTAACTCTAAAGAATTCCTTAAAGTATGTTGACCCTTTTTGCCCCAATACACATATTTCTATTCAGAACCTAATAATGAACGCCCAAATTTCGTTGATGTCTTAGACACAACCCTCTCATGAACATCATTCTACCACTTCTCAAACCCACTATCACTACCATTATACAACACCCCACATGATAACGAACAATGTAAAATGAACTATACCGATTAACCACATCACTAACTACGAAACAGTTTACGCACATCGGATATAAACAGTCACTAAATACTTTCACCGCACCTAAGGCTAATGAATAGTCCATCGATCATTACGACCATCACATCATCAGATCAAATAAAAATCACTTTCTCAACGACGAAAAATATGCTAACCCACAACTAACAAAAAATTTCTTCATTAGAACACCCTATGTTTCTTTAGATAAAAAACACGATCACATCATTTCAGCAGCACTTCGTGACATTCGAGCTTACGATTCATATTTTAGTATGCTTAACATCTTCTCACTAACCTTTCATTCTCTCACACCCAAAGAACGTGATTTGCAATGTTCACACGAAATCATGTTACAAACTAAACAAACACACACTTATACTTACTACCGATTTATACAAAATAATTACTCACTGCACACACCATCACGACAACCTCACCATAGATATCAATTCGTTAACTCCAAACATTTCTCAACATTCTTTCCTAATTTCACTTATTGTATTGAAAGCACTAACTTTCAAGGCATCCTCGAAAATTATGATCCCATCACCCAGATGTATATATTCTGTCTCTTAACCAAGACCTTCAACGTAGAAGAATCCCGTCCACTAATCGTCCCACACGAAATACAACAGCCCATCGAAGTCCCAATCCTTGAATTCATACATAACACAAAATATTAACATAAACTCTATAACCTCATCCAAAATACACCACATGAATTCGCACCTGGCACTGAAGAACTAAAAGTCATTAGAGCACTCCAATTGCCTTGGCCACTCCTTCAAACTAAAAACGTCATTCGTGTGCTAGCAAAATTATTAACATCATCCGAAATCATCCACGACGTTTTTCCCCATGGATTTTTCCCCGACGATTAAGGTAAGAATAATTAAATAAATTATACCAATAAACTCGAAATAAAACTAACCATTCTTTGTAAATGTTTTTTTTTTATTCTTCTCATCATTCTTCACGATCATCTACAAAAACAAAAAACGAAATAAAAAACAAAAAACTTTTTCTGGACTCATAAATTAAAAAAACCCATTGCAATAAATGAAGCAGTAAAAGTTACCCCCAAACAGCAGTAAATTAAAATATAAAATCTTTTCCCATATGCAGTAAACCTACTTAAAATGAAAATAAATTAACAATTTCGACTCCCCAAAATGCCGTTAAGTTCTATTTCTAAGTAGTAAATTAATAAAAGTTGAACATAAACTAAAAAGCAGTACTAACTTTTTCAAACGACACTTCTTTATCAATTAAACACATTCACTTGCCCACAATTCTATCCACAAACGCACAGCTCGCCCACGAAGAATCGCTTAAAATAATGAATTTAAGTTTCATTTTTCACTGATATCAACTCTAACCAGTATTAACATGTTTTAAACTTTCCTTTAACCCGGTTGGAAAGGAATTATATAATAATCCAACTAACCAACGCAACTTACTAAACACCACAAACCACAACCTAACAGCATGACAAAGAAAAGAAAACCCACGGTACCCAAACCGGATTAAACCAGCTTAAGAACTGGATAATTTATTCTTTTGAAGACTATTTATAAGTCTGAACAAGAACGAACAGAACACAAAAATGTCGAACGACAAAACCAAACCAAACGATTTGATTTTTGAGAAAAGGACACAACCAAAACAACAAAAGAAAAACCCAATAATAAAAAAGACATAAAAGGTTAACACAAAACAGGACCGCATAAAAGAAAGAGCCCAAAATTATACCCTATTCCTGGCCTAACCCACCAGAAGGATGTCCTGAGCATGCTATACAGCCAGTCTAACCCACTGTGCTACAATCACGCTTTGTGACCCACTCCCTATTTTTGACCAGAGTTACCAAGGTTGAGTAGCTCTTAAAAATAACCGAACAAAAACGCTTTTGCGATAAAAACTAATATAAGATCATAATTAAAAACAAAAGTTATCAAAGACTTATATATGTAAATGATATAATGCTGTATATAGAATACACACAACCCAAAGACGAGCAGCAAAGAACTTGACAACACTCCCACTACGGAATAGCAAAACACAACCGATAGGCTGCCTACATTCACTACACTCAAAGGATTTAAAGTACGAGTTGGCATCGCAGCAAAGGAAACCCATTGAACTAGAACAATGGCCTTCTCGATGTTCAAGTACAAGTACAGATCCAAGTCACTAGGTTTTTCACCCAAAGTCAAACTTCACGCCACTTCCGAACGAGATCGGAGCACTGTTGTTCGTTACACAACAGAACCAATAACCATCACAACCGATCAGACATCATAATCCGACCTCCCGAAACAATCGTGACAAACAGTCACAACCTAACAACAAGTTCTTATCTACGATTCCAGCTTCCTGGAGCTTCCTATGACAATCCTTCTTCCTGAACGGAAAAAGAAAGATGCTCGATACTTCAACAAGAACATCATCATCCATCCTCCATTACAGTAGAACATTAAAGAACTAAAACTCTGTAAACTCCGGATGGGTGGAACCAGATCTAAACTAGATTTTATTATTGGATATTATTCTAATATTTTATCTCTATAAAATATTGAATACTAACCAATCATAATCCATCAAACTAAACTTAGAACTTAGTTGCCTTCTCCAAGAGACCGACTCGTACTAAACCAGGATACTCTAGATCTATTGAGACTAGGAGATATAAGAGTAAGATTAAGATTGCTATTAGACTAATAAGTTGCACGAATCTATCCGGCCGAAAATAAGATAGCGTGACGTGCAGACGGTGTACTTTTTCTGGAATAACTCTATGAGTATAACCAACAGGTCATAACTCAGTTAGCATACAATTGAAACCACACAGAACGAAATGGCAAATGATAGAAGAGAATTAAAGCGGTAAAATCATACCGACGAAAACAATGTTAAAAACATTCAAGAGCAAGACATGCCCACAAAGGATAGAACGGATTAAACCGATCAATTAAATAACCGTTATAACAAGGATAACCGGTTACTACCAGTTAACCGGTTACTACCTATGTTCCGATCAGTCTTAAAAAGTTATAACAAAAGTATTTTTCCAATTTTTGTGTCGTTTTTGCGGCTTAGTGTAATAAAGGAATCTGAGCGAAAATTAGAGCTTAGACATTTCCGTCAGTCGTGTAAAATAAGGAAACTGGAAAACAATTTTTGAAGACAAATAACAAGAAAAAAAGAAAAAATCAACAAAAATTCCCAAAATTTTGAAGTTTTTGATTCCCAAGAAGAAGCTAAAAACTCCAAAAACTGACTTCTTTAGATTAAAACTTAAATTTCAAGGCTTAACAAAAGGATTGTAAGACTGCTCACTCGCTCGACATTATACGAAAATCAAAAATTTCAAACCGGTTTTTCTCGATAATTCTCGAGAAAATTTTTTCTTGGGAGTTTTTTTTTGCAAACTTTGACATTCGAAACACGACTGAAAGGGCTTTAATATAATATAATACTCATCCCACTCCGATGATTGTTTGTGGTAGCTGATTATGCGAGGAAAGCAAATAGAAGAAAAAAAGTTATTCCCCATTTTCAATGGTCGGAACAATAACTTTTTCACAAAACGTCGCGAGGAAACGGAAATTGAAAACTTATAAGAATCTAACTGCTGACATAGGCTTCACGGGCTTACGCAACGATGACACTGCGGACACTGTATGAACAAACGCACGCCCTGGCCAATTAGAGTCACCGTCTAACGCACTACTCTATCAATTTGGCCACTCAGTAAGCACTCTCGAAGCCGATGATCCCTGCAAAGCTGCACTGGAGCCAAACTCGGCAAAATTTGCCAATCGGATGATAGAAAGCCCGCATAAGAAAAGTATACATATGTTAAACCGTGGGAGACCTTTAACTTCCCTATCTTTAACTATGTGGGATATCTTTAACTATGTACTAGAAAGGGGGATAGATAAAATGATTTACGCCTTGAATGCAAAAATTTTACAGGAATCCTGGTGTAAATTTGTTTTTTACGAATTGCAGACGACCTAAAATGCAGATTTTAATCTTTTTGGCTTTTTAAAAAGCTATTCCGTTTGTAATATTTCTCAAACTTCTAGGCGTAATCGTGTTTGGACAAAAACTTTTGCTAACGGCTCCAGATGATAGAAAAATCGTGCTCATACGTGGTTGGGAACGGAATACTTTGAATGCAAGCGGATTAATGGACCTGATCTCAATCTTGATTGAGATCACACCAAAAATAGTAAACTAAGCGCTTATTAACTCTAGCTATTTGTTCAGACACTTTTCTTTTTCATTCTTGAACAAAAACTATGCAATCTAGTTTTGGCCTCAGTTTGATTCAGTCTTCAAAATGACCAGTTTCTGAAAAGAACTTTACGTAATTTTATAAGAGAATCAAACCAAAGTTAAAACTCGTAGATTGCATGTTTTTTGTTTTCACGACTGAAAAAAAAACGTGTAAAAATAAATATCTGGAGCTAATATGCGCATAATTTTCATTAGTAAATGCTCAAATGTTGTTCTATGAGTAAACACAGAACCTTTTTGATATGAGAAGTTTCTGCTAGAATTCACATTTCTTTATCAAAAAAGAAGTAAGCATAATTTACAAAACTGTTTTACATGAAAATATAAATCAGTTTTTTTGCTCTGTTAAAACAAATAAAAATGCGAGCAACAAAATGAACATATCAAATGATGACAAAGTCAGTAAACCTGCTGTTTATCACTGCGTAAAATGCAAAAACCACTGCCCAAACCCTCTAAAGCTGCCATCATGCGGACATATTATATGCGGCCCAATTGGAGAAAAAAATGCCACATGTTGTGCTGTGATTCTGTTGAAAACGGTGAATACTGCTAAGTGTCCTAAATGCCCAAATAAGTTAGCCAAATCCACGAAATTGGAAGATTTGGAACCAGTCATAAAGCCTCAGGTTTCATCCGGAAAAGGAAGCACGGCAGAAATACAGCCAAAGAATCAAGGTATGTTGTTACGAATCATAACTAAATTTCTGTATCGCGAACTTTTGGGCAATTTGAGATCAAAAGTACACTGATATCATACCCAAAATTGGCGAGCTTTTGTTCCGACCAATGAAAATGGGGATGAATTTTATATTCGGGTGTGCTTTACTTTTTTTCTTTTTGTTTTCCACGCAAAATCAGGTACCACAAATAATCATCGGACTAAGTTGAGTGATGTATCCAATCAAAGAATTTTCAATCGTGATTTGAACAACATTGGAAAAGTTCTGGAAAAATCTCAGTATCGAGGAAAACTAGCTTGAAATTTTTTGATTTTGGTCTAACTTTGAGCGAGTTAAGCGAGCGAACAGGCTTGTTTATGCTTAGTTTGAGCCGTATACTTTAAATTATTTGTGCTTATTTTTAACTTACTCGAGTAAATTTAGTTTTTCTCTGAGTTTCAGCGCCTTTTTAGAATCAAAAACTTCAAAAAATGAAAAAAAATTGCAAAAAAATGCATGATGTTTTGTTTAAATTTTTTTACGTGTTTTTTTTGTTTTTCTAGTAATTTTCATCAAAAATATGTGTTCGTTTTTTTATGTTTTTTTTGTTTTTCCAGTAATTTTCCTCAAAAATATGTGTTCGTTCCCATCTTACTATAATTGTCGAGTTTACTATTAAATACCATGGTCGTAACATTCTTTGCCACTTACACAGTAATCGGCTATCCTTGTTTGATTTTTTAGTTTTTCCATGCACAATCAGGTACTACGAACACTAATCGAAATGGGTCGATTGGTTTATCAAATTAAATACTTTTTGGTCGTGATTCAAACGACCTTAAAACAATTTCAAACAGTTCCCTATTTCGAAAAAAATAGGTTTCCTATTGGTTTGTAGTTTTTGAGAATTAGCTGAAGATCCTTGCTTACCCGGGTTGACCAAAAATGCTAGTCATACAATTTCCATATATGGAAAAATGCTAGTCATACACTTTCCATGCAATTCCATACGTACAGAAAATTGCATGAAAGGTTTATGATTAATTGTATGACTAGCATTTTTTCATATATAGAAAGTGTATGACTAGCATTTTTTCATATATAAGTGTATGAAATTGTATGATTAGCATTTTCGGTTTATGGAGGTCATCCCGGGTAAATCTTCAGTTTGCCGAAAATACCTCGAAATACAAACTTGAAAACTGCTTTTGCAGACTATGGAATCATTTTGGCCTGAAAAAAGTGGCGAAAATTGTCGTTCAATTAGTCGCCTGAAAACTAAATATTGCACTTTTTTTGTCTCGTTACTGTAGTTTCTGTCGCATTAAAAAAATTATGCAAAAGTTGCATGGGCGAGTAAAAATTACATAAGCATCGATCGAAAACTATAAATTCATTTGAAAGTTTATTACTTGATATTTGTTTTTCCATACTTGGTGCCAAAATTTCTTTAGTTGTATTCTTTTGAAGAAGTAGTTTTCTCTTTGTCATTATCTCGGCAGTCAGCAATGCTAGTTTTTTTTGTATAATGACTACCAATTTGTTACAAAATTTGTTTTCTAACCTTTGATGCTAACTTAAACATTGGTTGTCTTCGTTAGTTGTTCAGTGATATCCTTTTTGGTTAAACATTTTGGTTTTAAAAAATCCTTTTATTAGAGCTTTGTATAATACTGTGCCTTCACATTTTCTTTGTGATTTTCAATCGTTTTAGCTTGTCAAAACATTTTCCGAAAAGTTTGCTTAACTATGTATCGTCAAGTATAAAAGTCCCGTTTTTTCTGCTTTGTAAAAATTGAGCGTTATGGTGACCATTCTGCTTTCAGTCAGTTTAATTTTCTTTTGTAAAACTGTGTATTCAATTTAAAAAAAAGTATGCATTACTCGGAAATTTCTTAAAAATCGTTTTCTGATATTCTTTGTTTTTTTTCCGATTTAACAAACTGGGAATATTGTGGTAAATGTTTCCAATACTTTGTCTTTTTAAGCTAAAACTGAATGTTTTTGGGCTGAGCCTTCCATAGAAAGTTTTTGTCCCATTTTCTGAATATTTGGCGCATTGATATACATAAACGCTAAATACATACTGTTGCGTTTTTCAAAGCGTTCTAGTGGTCAACAAGAAGATAAAAACTAAAATTTTTCAGTTTTCTTTATTTTTTTCTCCAATTTGATCGATTTTTTCAGCAAAAAAAAACTTGCCTTGGTATATGAGCAGTCTGAACTTCATTTTTATCCTTCTGGCGGTTTCAAAATTTAAACCCATAACTTTTGATTGGTTTTATATGGGCTTTTGTAAGTTATCATGCTTTTGTAAATATCTCTTTGATGAGAACTAATTATTGAGGCAGAGACACAAAAGTCTCCCATTTAAACGTAAAAATTTCAAAAAAAAAATAAAACATAATCAATTTGAAGAAATCCTTGAACGCTAGAACATAAATTGAAAAACTACTTAGTGAAGGCATGCCGCAAAGTAAATAACGAAAGAAATAGAATTTTTTTTACCACTAAATTTTTCAACAAATCCGCAAAGGAAACAAATCAACAGCCTTTTAATTTCTACAAGACAAAATTAGGAAACAAAAATCTCTAAACTGTTCAAATCAATAAAGCCATTAGAATCAACGAAGTTACGTTGAAACCATTTATTTTGGGAAGATCATCTGAAATTTCAAACACTCAACACCTGGTATCTTTAGAAACTGACCTGTAAGCTCAATTGAAAACAAATGAAAAACTATTGCCGCAAATTCGAATATTGTAACGCAAAATTTTGAATCAAAATGGAACCACCCTCAAAGTGGAACCAACGAGGAATAATAGAACAAAACTTTAATTTCTTTTTAAGCTAAAATTTGACAAATAGACGATGGCTCTTCACTAAAAAAAATTACTAGAAGGCGCAGCAAAAATTTGAAAAAAAAATTGAAGAAGTTTAGAAAATGATGTTCAACATCGTTTTAATCATCAGGATCATCACACCTCTGATAATTTTTTGCAAAATTAAACTGAATTGAAAATTAGCTAGTTTGGCCCATTTGAAATAAATAACACGAGATATGTTGAGTTCTTATGACACGCGGAGAGCAGCTAATAATTCGCCCTAATTGCATTGGAGACAGCCTTTTTTTTGTTATCTGGACAATACGAGACGCGAAAAAATTTCTGCTGTTTCACTCGGCTCATTAGGTGCCAAAATGAAAACCAAATTTTAGATAAAATTCTCATATCTTTTTTCCGGCGTTTTGTCGATTTTTCTTACTGAAAATTTGCCTCAAGTCTCACGGCGCAGTCGAAACAATTGAGGTTTTTCCCAGTTAGACAAGCAACTTTGATTTGATGATGATCTTTTTGAGGGTCGCCAACAGCAGTAACACACAAATAGTTATTGGTAATTCGCGCCTTAAACTATAAATTTTTACATACTTTCCTGGACTTTTTTCCTAACCAATTAATCAGGTAAAGAGACAAACTTTCAAAATTTTTCTCTCAGTTGACAGTTTGAAATTTTGAAGTTTTGCTTTTTTTGTCCAAACAACCTATTTTAAAACTTCAAAAAAGCGAAAAAAGTGCAACGTTTTGTTCGACAGGCGCTTTTTTATTCTTGTTGATGTTATTTGATTTTTCATTAGCTGTTACACGAGTAAGATAAATTCATGTAGTTTTGTATCGTGTCCCGGATCCTGAGGGGGTGGCTCCTTCCTATGGTGGGGTCCTAGAAGCAAAATTGTATTTGAGGACCCTCATCCTAGGTTTTTGTCAACGAAACAAATTTTCCTCCCAAATAGCAGAAGACCAACTAAGGATCTTGCTAAGCTTAGCCTAACAACAAGAGACTTGATACCTAATTTTTTCTAATTCCAAATTTTGGGGTCATAATTATCGGTCCTGGTGAATTGTATGAATCACATTAATTGTTATTATTGTTTTGGACAATTTATATTCGACCTAATTGAAATTTGTTGTTGAAGAAGGAATTGAACTTTATGTATGAAAAAAGAATTCGCCGGCAGTTTAGGCAGAGTAGCCTAAATGTTGGCAGCAGTTAACATTTTCTTAACATGTGATAAAATTTTAAGTGAAAAGATACTAGAAGGAAATCACACTGCAAAGGTGCCGGCAATTTTTGAGCAAGTTATAGCAAATGATAGTTTTGTCAAGTTTTGAAATAAAAAGAATAAAATTAAAAGGAACTTGGTGTACTGAAGATATTGCTAACTTAGCTTTTACAGTTAAAAGGTTTTCAATCACAAAATATCAAGTTTTAAATTCAGAGAGGAGTTTAATAACTCCTCTCTTATTTGCTTACTTACTTACTTACTTACTTACTGACTTACTTACCTACCTACTTACCTACTTACTTACTTCCTTTCTTACCTACTTACTTTAATACTTACTCACATGCATACATACTTACATACCTACTCAATTATTTACTTACTTACTTGCTTAAAAACCTACTTACTTAATTACTTGCATACCTAATTACTTACTTACTTACTTATTTTTTTACTTACTTACTTACCTACTTACCTAATTACTTGCCTACATACTTACTCACTTACCTACTTACTTACTTACTTACTTAATTACTTACTTACTTACTTACTTACTTCCTCACAAATTTACCTAATTGCTTTCCTTTATACTTTTTAAAATCTACTTACTTTCTTTTTACCTGGTTACTTACTTACTTACCTAATTTAATTAACTTTACTGAAATCTAATTCAGTTTAAGCTATTTCACTTATTTTTGTTTTTATACTTGTTTCATCTTCTTTTTACTGAATTTTTTTTCTTCACCTTGGTTTAGTTCTCCAAACTAAATTTACTTATATGATCACCTTACTTCGCTTTAGTTTTCGTACTGTCCTTTGCTTTACTTACTTTAACTTACCTCACTTTAATTTACTTAACTTTGACTAATTCATTTACCTACATTCACAAAAAAACTTACTTGTTTCTTTACTTGAGTTTATTTTACTTAATGTTCACTACCTCACTTTACTTTAC